CTTGAGACAAAAAATGGTCAACTACTGGACAGCCCTCCCTGAGATTATTTGACTCTATGTCAGTTTTGAATAAATTCACTTTAGGGCACAAATTCACATTCGTTATGGTTGATCAAACAATTTCGGACACAGGCATGAAGAAGGAATGATTACAAATTATGAAAATGCAAGATTAAGATGAAACTCTCTATATATATACAATTATGTTGTGTAATGTAAACCCCTCTAGCCCTCTCTTGTGAAACTCCATCTCACAAATGAAAACCCCAGAAAAGGAGGAAGATGGACAGAAGTGACAAAATTGTGTTTATAGAACTGCATGGTAAATCATTGAACATGTTTTTTATGTTTGCTCAATGTTTACATTTAAAACCAACAGATACATTGCTTGCAAGCATTGGACTGTTTTAAAATTTTTTAGTGAAGTCTAGATTTATTAACTGTAAACTTAATAATTTATTGAATGTCAGATCAAATCAAGTGTGACTGAGGAGAATAAAAACATTAACAAATAAATCACAAACAATGTAACAAAAATAATAATTCAGATATATATTGCAGGGAACAAAATAGCAACTGAAGAAATTTTTAAAGTAAATCACTTTCACTTTCATACAATATTAACAGTATTACAATAACCAACAATTTAGATTCATGTTGAAATTACCCATTGAGTTGTTTGGGGTTGAAGGTATTGAAAAGAAACACAACACAGTATTCAATTTACTTTTTTTTGATAATTGAAATTAGCATTTCTTTTTCTTTTTAGACAAACTCAAACACCAGTGCGCACAAACACACACTGTAATAAAATGCAAGTTTATTTATGCACAATTACACGCCCCCCCCCCCCCCCTCCTTTTTTTAGACTACACTGACATTTTCTTCATTTTTTGTCTGTAGCCATGAATAATTCACTGATATAGTGTATAGCAGATTAAGGCTTTCTTTTGCAGTTGCTTAAATTAATCATCAGTTAAAATAAATAAATACAATGCATATTGCACTAAAAGAACATACTTTTAGCCACTAAAAATCCCAAACTGTGTCAACATTTTTTTAAATCCAAAAAATCCTATTTAAATTTTAAAAATCTGTTAAATTTAAAAAATCTATTTTTTTATTTTCAAAATGCAAGCATAAGTGACTGTTTTCCATTTTTGTGTGTGAAGTCCTCTCATTTGGCTTTGCATTTGCTTTTTTCTTTCATTTTCTGTGACAGCTTGATATAACTCCTATCTGATTTTCATTCATTCTTCTTGTTCTTTCATTTCACCATCCGCAGCTCAATTTTTCCTTTTTCATTCTGGAGAAAAGCATTTACCTGCTCCATCCTACTGAGGAGACTCTAAAGATTTTATTTTATCGGGCAGCATTCAGTGCATTCAATTACCAGCTTTGGACATGTCTTAATATTTGCGTTAACAATATCAGGGGGGTTGTGTAGTTATGTTTTCGAAGTAGCGGCCTGTTCGTCAATTGTGTTTGTGTTCATAAAAATTTTCTTTGATAAAAGCTCCTGAACAGTTGGAGTTGTACTATTTTTCTTTTTTGTGTCCTTTAGCAAATTATGGTTGTATTCAATAAACAAAAGATCTGAGTTTTGCAACTATGATGCAGACATTGCAAATTAATTTGACCCACACAGGTACAAAAAACTAACCTCATTATCTATCTGCCTCTCTTTGGACAAATAATGAATGAGATCTATAACATTTTCGTACGTCAAGCTTTCATTTCCAACTTAATTAAACAAGTACAAGGGGTTAAAAATATTCATTGTTCAGTCAATGTCACAAGCATCCAGGAAAAAAGACACAGTTCACTTTCAGTGGCCTCAGCAAAAATCCACACAGAATGTCACTTTCCAGAGTCAGTGTTTTCTGCACCATATTCACACCTTCCTGACCACACAAATGGTGTCAAAGATGAGTTTTGAAAAAAGTTTCTGAAACCACTCCTTTTCATTTTCCCTTGTTCTCCAACTAAGTGACGCATTACGAAAATCTTGTTGGTAGCAGGAACATCCAGAGGGTCTGGCTTCCTCCCTTTTCCAAGATGAATCATTGTGGCACACAGACCACTGTACATTTCTGCATCTGTGGATTAAATTCATAAACAAAAAAGTTTAAATAAATTCTGAAGCACACTGGCCATTGTAAGTTTTTGCTTCTGTGGATCAAAATCACATGATATGGAACATTTAAATTTTAATTCTGAAACAATGAGGGGTATTACAATTTCTAGATAGAAATATTTAAAACTAATTTTTCTGCAACTGTAACCTTTATCAAGCATCTTAGGGCTAAAAGTTCTGAGTAAAAATAAGTTGTGAAATAATGACAATGACGTGATTAATGTGAAGAATTACTTTTATACCAATATATTCTAAAACTGTACACTGGAAATCTAGCACAGATTGTATCTCATTCCCTAACATGCTGTGAGTAAAAACACCAACATTTTTTTTCAGTCTTAGAAACCACTGATAAAGATTTGAAAGTCAATCCCAGCTTCCTCTTCTCTGTAAATACGCTTTGAGATCTACAATTATTTGCATGATAGGGTGAAATCAAATATTTTGAAATGCTAAAAAAAAAAAGCTAATTTACAGCAAAAATTGAATGACACAGTGGGTTGGAAAATAATATCTAAACTCTATCCCATTACCTACAAGTACTACGAGAGAACTTACCAATTGGTTTCCAAATTGCACTCCAGTAGTCATTTTGTGTGTTGCAGTGTCCGAAGAGGCAGCATCCCCACCAATGCTTGTCCCGTCTATCTTGTCAAAATCCACCCTGTAATGTAAATCAGGAAAAGAAATTCAGTCAAAACTGTTGGGAAGAAATACATTACTGGGTATGTAAGTAGGCCTATATAATATATGTGAACATTAAATGCTCGTACTATTATAGTACGGCCAAACATTCGTAGTGCAACTTATTGTCAAATTTACCTTAATACCAAACATAGACTCTCCAACTTTTGCACAATGACTTGTATCAATAGTTTTTCTTAACAGATCAATATTTTTGTACACACACCTGTTACTTGTATTCTAGAAAATTCCTAAAATAATATATGTGAGGCAGCGTGGTGGAATCAGGCTCTCATCAATTTTTGGGCATGTAGAGTTATTGGTATCATCTTAAAGCTTGTTCACTTGTCTTTATTTGGATGAAAAAAATATCCATTTATCTTGAATAGAAGTTGAGATCATTAGCGAAAGAAGGAGGTGGGGGTCACCTGTTTTCAGAAGTAAAATTAGAGAGGAAATGGCCGCCAAAGATTAGTTATTTCCTTAGCTTAAGAGTCCGTGGTAACTGAAAATTTACATTCTTTGTGCTTTTAATCAACGCTTTTCAGAAAAATCCACTCAGAAATGAGTTCTTTAAAGGGCATGAAAGGTGTTGAGCCAAAAAACAAAAATTTTTAAAAATTCACAAACCTGCGAAAAAATGCAAGTTTCTTCACTTTGATTATTTTGACGAGAGCCTGATTCCACAACGCTGCCTCACATATACTAATTGAAATATCAAGTGGGTGGTTTTTACAGATTCTAAAAGGTTTATAGCTGGGGCAATATTGCTTTTAAAAGCTAGTCTGTCATCTTTTTCTAATCGTGACATTATATGCTTATTCTGCTGCACTTGTTCTGCAAAAAATGTGTTCACTATAAAATTAATTTCTTATAAAAAGTTTTGCCATTGGAAAGCTGTGATGTTGGCCAAGTGGCATACATATACAAAATGTGTATGATCTCGGGAAGAGCTGTGAACTAGTCCCATCTTCCAAGTGGCAAAAATATAAATATTAAGTTAAAAATAAAATTGATACAAATTGTGGAACAAAGTTACAAAGTATGGGTGACGAAAAATATAAATATTAAGTTAAAAACAAAATTGATACAAATTGCGGAACAAAGTTACAAAGTATGGGTGACACAGATTCACCTGCAACTAAATTAGGAAGTTTGGGTTGATATTTGTCGTTGTTTTGTTATTTGTTGTTATCTCGACAAAGATAAATATCGAAAGTAAGGGTGGCCATTTTGTTTTCTCGATTGAAAATCAGTTGGGGGAAGTCCCCTATTTTCAACAGAGCGCAAAAACAACATCTATTTCTCCTTCAGCTACTATAATCAGATCAACATCATAACTTCACAAAATTAAATTAAAGCCTTGCGGAACTGAACAGACCTTTCGGCTTCAGGGCAGCATCCGTGGTAAGCCTTAAGATTAGGCAGTTTGATTTTTTTTTAAAGAAATTAGTTTGAGTCTAGAATTACATCTCACTCTCAGGTGATAGAGGGTGCTGTACGTAACTTGCACTAAACCTTTTAAATTTTGAAAATATTTTGCGGCCAGTTTGTTGGCGGTACAACAGGGTAAATTTACAGTAGTTTAATATGGATCATATAATAACTGAGACAGTTGGCGGATGGCAGATGGGGGTGTAAAGGCTTAAATACTATGTTTTTAGTTTTAATAAGAGTTTTACGGCACTTGCAACACAATAAGGTCATCATAAAGGAGGAGGAGAGATCAAGGATGATAGATGTTTGATAGGAAAGAAGTTCAGAAGCAAACCACACCAGAGCACCTGCCAACCACCCACAAATACTATGTTTATAATAAGGATAGTCTTGTCATAAATTGGCAAAACCCGGCGGTAAGTGGGGCTGGCAAAATATTCAGGTTCGACTGTGTATAATATATGTACGTGTGTATGTTCTTACCGTAGAGTCGACTGCTTCACTGATTATAAGAATAAATTGGACCTCAGTCAGGCTGTCTCAGTCTGTGTATCCACAGGAATAAGGAATCTGGAAGGGAATTAGATCTAGATCTAGTCAAAATGAATGATGTGTAGAATAATAAATAATAATACGGATAGCAGAAAGGACCTAGACATTATGCAAAACTAAATAATACTCAATATATAACACACTTCTTACTGACTTCTAGGCCTACTTCTTGCTGGTCAACAAGGTCAAAGAACTGAACATCAAGCTGTTTTCACTAATTGACGCACAAAGTCAAACAGGAAAGCGATGATTAAAAAAATGAAGTGAGCCGTTGGAGGCTATTCGGATTCAAATTCCAGTGCGCGTGCGCAATCACCGGTTGTACTGTAAGTGTAAGCAAAGTCTACTAGATCTATACTCGAGTCCGAATAGTCTCCCGTTGCTATTCAGACTTTAAACTACTGGTAGGCTATAACATTGCGTTTCACGACTACAAAGGGATCAAAACATAAAATTCATAATCAGTCCTAAATAAGACAGCCCCCTCCTCCCCTTTCTCTCTCTCTTTCTTTTACTTTTTCCCTCTCCATCTTACTTTCCTAGGCCCGCCATCGTAGAAATCGAGGAAGGACAAGGTCGAATTGCTTGTCTGCTTCACATCCAGTACACCTAGATCTAGTGATTGCACACGAGCATTGGAGTTTGAGTCCAAATAGCTTCACGTGATCTTAAGCCTACGGTATCTTAATATCTAGAAGATTTCTAGACTTCCAGATCCTATTCTAGTCTAGCTTAGGCTACTTACCATAGAGTCGACTGCTTCACTGCTCATAAAAATGGGGGGGGGGGGGGGGGGGGGGGGAATTGGACATCAATGAGGATCAGGTTGTCTCTGTACACTGTGCATCTGCCACATGAATAGAAGAGAATCTGAAAGAGAATGAATAAAAAATAGTTTTGCTTTAAAAAATAATCTAAATTTTATTAACTTCACTTTGACTGATGTCAAAGTCAAAGTAAAAGATGAAGATATAGATCTAGATATAGATAAATAATAGAATATATATATATCGAATATTGATAGTGATAAAAAAAAAACACAGCAGAGAGAGGTCCTAGACACTGTGATACTGATAGACCTGCAATGAGAACAATGTTAGGCAACATAAATAATCTGTTGGAGAGAGAAGAAGTTGAAGCACGGGAATTTCCGACGAGATGAAAAAAAAAACCAAAAGGGAGATCAGGGCACCAAAAAATTGGGACTAGACTATATAATCCCTCTAGATCTATTATCTAATCAAAATCCAGATTTCTACTGATAGCCATCAGACCATAAATCTAGCCATAGATCTAGATTCTAGACTAGCTAGATTCTAGATCTAGATCAAACTTCACACACTTCTGTGCAGTGTGCACACATAAAAGGCACGTATTTTCAAAAAAATAAACGACACTCTCGAAAATTGATAAAATGACAATGAAACTTCACACACTTCTGTGCAGTGTGCACACATAAAAGGCACGTATTTTCAAAAAAATAAACGACAAATCAAAGGAAAAAGCAAAAATGTAAAGTAGGAACGTACCTTGAACTTCAACTCGATACTGCTCACAAACCCGACGTCTGACGGTCACGCAAACAATTCAAACATTCATAAATCTTGATCTATCTCTACGACTCCGATCTGGAACTCTGGAACTCCGCGCCTTTTAAAAATGGATTGGATTGACCGGATATGACGCAAAAATGACCCTTCAAAATAGGGTACTCCTGTCCAATTGGCCAAACGAACACCACGTGGCTGTGAGGCGAACCGGGGAAGCCCGGGGGCGGACGACCGCCGATGTGCGACTAGGCTACTTCGGCCCTACTGGAAACACTCAATCGATCGTCACGAAACATAAACACCATTGTTGTGAAGATGTAGGCCTAGAGCGCTCTCTCTCCTTTCAATGGCCTTTCAAACAAGAAGGCCCACCTGGACGTGAACTAAAGCCGCTATCGCTATACAGTGCAGCCTCTCTATAATGGCACATCGCTATCGCTATACAGTGCAGCCTCTCTATAATGGCACATCGGGCTATGTCGGGACTAGAAGAAAATGTCGTTATAAAGAGTTGTCGTCATAGAGAGGCAACCCAAAATTACTAACGATATATATAGTATAGGAAATATCTGGACCTGGGCTCCATGTCTACAGAGGATGTCGTTATATCGAAGGTCGTTATTGAGAGGCTAAACTGTAATAGGCTAGCGTAATAATAAAATGCATACGTATCGATCCCCGGGCAACGGCGATCGCGCACGGTCAGAAGCGGGTGCGTGGCTGGTACAACCGAACTACCTAATAAGATAAACATCAAGTAACTAAATACTTGAACGTAATGAAACAAAATATAGCTATATAATCAGATTTAATAACATTAAAACGTGTCTGAGCATTTGTTTGACGATCAAAGCAAGATATCTCGGGGGCTTTTTTGCAGGCTGTCCCATGCAGGCAAGGACTGGGTAATTTCAAAAGAGGCCGGGGTGACTTTTAACTGCGCTTTTCAAGCAGTAAAATGCACATATACTATATAGATCTAGGCCTGGTCGAAAATGGCAAAGTTGAAATGACAGAGAGATACATGAACATGGGAAGGCAGAGAGAAAGAGAGAGACAGACAGACAGACAGACAGACAGACAGACAGACAGACAGACAGACAGACAGAGACAGATAAATAAAGAGAGAGGGGTGGTGGAGAGAGACACGGGGACGGGGGAGGCAGAAGGAAAGAGATTTGAGAGATAAAGAGAGATATCATGAGAGAACGAAAGAGAGGGTGTATGTGTGTGTGTGGAGTGTGTATGAGAGAGAGAGAGAGTTAGAGAGAGAGAGAGAGAGAGAGAGAGAGAGAGAGAGAGAGAGAGAGAGAGA